CCTTCAAGCGGTGCCACAAATAGGTGGCTTTGGGAATGCCTGTTCACTGGGTTAGTTATTAAATGCTCATTACATTAGCTGTTGCTCAAACTGATAGCAGATTTAAAATGTCATTGCTAACAGCTTTTTCCCCCTCACCATCCTTCTCTTAACTCATTTAGTTCTGCAAAGAAAGTATTTTGAGAAGGAAAGAAAACAAAAGTGGGCCTGGGGAGGGGGACATTTGTTTGTTGGATTATATTCTGCACTCATTGACGGAACAGAATGCTCCTCAGATCAGTGAATAAAAGAGGAATAATAAAAATATCAAATCAAGTTACAAACAGATGTAAAAACAATATATATGTAATGATTGATGTGACATTTCACATGATGGCTGTCTTCTGCTGCTGCTGCTGCTGCTGCTCCAAAATTAAACAGCAGCTCATTTCTACAAAGCAGGTTGTAGAAGAAGCAACAGCTTGTAGATGCTTGGACAAACCGAGAGATTTTCCATTCCTCCTAGATGAGAGGTTTGCTAAGCGATGTGGTACAATCAACTTTCCTGAAAGAGTATTTATAGAATTTAACCATTCTTACAGAATGGAAAGATCCACTGCTACAGCAACACTAAAGACAACCTTTGCGACCTGTTCTGCTCCTTTTTCAAAGACCTCCAGTTGACCTTTTCTTGGAATGAGAATACTAATGCTGTGCCAAATTCCGCCTTAAAATTTTTCAAAGGTTTTCTTCCAGGGCCAAAGAGGTTTCTGTCTTTCTACTTTATTCTTAGGGTGCTCAAGGCATTCTTTCAAAATTCTATAAGTGGTTTTTTGAACTTTATCGCTTGAGAAGGTGGAGGAAGCTACTCTGATGCTACTTTCAGTTCCACATCTCTCATCATTCTGAAACTTTATTGGTTGTCTATATTTCCAATCTGAAAAGGACACAGGGGAGCCCTACCCTCATAATGTCTTCCCTTGGGATGGAAAGAAAGCCAGGGAAGCTGTACAGTGAAAGAGAAGATTCACAAAGCATGTATACACAGAGGAAGGCCTCATAATTACATAAGTTTATGAAAACCAGACTCCACCCATCCTTTAGTAGGAGGTCTACGATTTTATTGATGGGATTCTGTAGAAAGCCAATATAGAAATAGGCATTTAAATAATGATTACAACAGGAGGCAAACTGTAATATTCTGTACTAAATTGAATTACTGATCAGTTCATCTTCAAAGGCAGTTGTGAGTTGAGTATGTAACAGTGTTCAGGAATGGAATGGAATGGAATGGAATGGAATGGAATGGAATGGAATGGAATGGAAGCTGTGAAGGCATTAAATGCTTGCAACAATGTTTGAATCCAAGTGAGACTATATGACAATGTACCAATTGTTGGGGTATCTTGAATATCTGTATGGCACAATGCTATCTCCAGAATTCCAATACAAAAAAAAAAAAAAAAAGCATGTTGGAAAAATATAAATACTTTGTGAAAAAAAGTGAAAACTACATAAAGGGCAGAAGATGAATCATAAATAAGATCCAGTGTTGGGAATATTACTGCATTTCTTTCACTCCTGACAACAGAATTTATTGAACAAATGCACTGATTAGCCACAAATAGGATATCATACATAGCACATACCACAAATGCAGTTTACCCAGATGGGAAGACACTCAAATGGTTAGCTCATAAACACCAATAAATTCTAGCTTCATTATTTGGGCACTAAGGAAATTAAAAAGACAAATCAATGGAGCTTGTCACACCCACATGGCAGAAAATCTTTCAAATCTATATTCCTTGCTGTGAATGTTATGCAAATTGAGAATTAGGAGCAAAATGGAAACAATACCATTCAATATTATTTGGCCATCTGAAAGGAGATAACTTCAAGGAGCATATTTCAAGGAATGAATTGGAGTGAGGGCAGGGCAGGGAGGCTCTCTCAAACAAGGGAAGGCTATAATCCCATTATCCTTCTAAGGAATACAGTAGAACTGAAGTGAAACAATACTCCAAAATTATTAAGGTCCTTCAGGGAGGCCTTAAAAAACATGCCAGATGCACAACAGGTATTATCAATCAGTTTACTTCACTAAACCAATTATCAGCAGGGTATGAACAAGAAAGCAAAGATATATATCATACAAATTTGAAAATAAATAAAAAATAAATAAATATAGATTTCAAAAAGGGTTTTAATGCACAGATGAGGACTAAAGTAAGGAATCTTGGAAACTGTAATAGGAACTTCCAGGTCTCATTTCTTAGTGACTTCATTAAGGTGAACACTTTAAATCTCTTCTTCCAGGGCTTTGTGCAACTAGGACTGAACTGCTGTTTATGAAGTAAGATACCATGGAACTCTTCTCTTACCTGCTGGTTGTTTATGTCTATCATTCCTCCCATACTTTCCCAAGCTCCCCACAATCACAAGTGGCCTTAGTAACTTTCCAAGGCAAATGCTTTTTCATCATCAACAAAGTTAGGGTGGGGAAATTTACATTGCACTAACTACTGCTCTGATGATACTCAGTTATATATCTCCATTCTGGGCTGTACAAATGATTCTGTCAAGATTCTTACCCCATGCCAAGAAGCAGTGACTCAACCCTAGCAAGACTGAGTGGCTGTGGGGTTTTGGGCCCCCTGGATCTGGAGATCTTCCATCTCTGGTTCTGGATGGGATAGCACTTTCTTGAACAGAGTTTGTGTGGAATCCAGGGGTCCTCTTGCGTTCACAGCTCCTACCTAAGGAGCATGTAGCAACTGTGGCTAGAGGGGCATTTGCATGAATTCATCTTATGTGGCACTTGCCTCTGTTTCTGGACTGAGAGGCTCTCTTCACAGTCACTGATGCCTTAGTTAGTTCCTGATTGGATTCTTGTAATCTGCTCTATGTGGGGTTGCCCTTGAAAGCATTTGGAAGCTTCAGTTGGTCCAAAATGCAGGTGTAGGAATGGGTGCAATTTTAGGTACATCAAGATTTACCCATGTGACCTCACTGCTGTGAAAACTGCACAGGCTCTGAATAGGCTGCTGGGTGCATTTCAAGGTGCTGTTTATAAACTTTAAAATCCTGCATGGCACAAGGCCAGGTTGTGTGACTGCCTTTCTCCAGTGGTTTCACCTCTTCCTTACCAGATCTGTCATGGTAAGAATGCTCTGAGTCCTCTCCTTCTCTGAAACAATGTCATCTTGTGGGACCCAGTGATGTGCCTTCTCTGTGATGGTACCTGCCTTTTGGAACAGTCTTCCCCCTGAGATCTGGATGGTCCAACCTGTTGGGTCTCTGGAAGGTCATGAAAACCTAGCTCTTCCCTCACCTGTTCAGACCAGGACATTGGTGGAACCCAAATGTGTGTTTGGTTTTGTGGCTTGTTTTGAGGCACTTGGGTTACAGTATTATGATTATTCTTAATTTGTGTTCTGTATCATCTTATGTTGGTTTTTACTAAAATTATTTTTGTGTATCACTTGTTTAGCTGCCCAGAGTTACTTGTTTAAGATGGGCAGCCATATGTATTTTCTAAATACATATGTACATACATACAAACTAAAGGAAGAAAGTACAAGGAAACTATTTTCATCACCAGCAACAAGGAGTGTGTTAATAACAAGGTGCTGAATTATCAGATAATTCTTTTCCAAGTTTATCAGAAAGGCTAGCTTGCTGATCAAAGGATCACAGCTGTAACATTTCTGTACACTGTTCATCTTTAAATATAAGAAAGTGTGATAGAGGCAGATTGTTGATCTATCTAGTTTGAAAGTGTCTAATTTAGGGAGGAGGGACTGATTTTTATGATAGGCCAGATGACCATGCCCACCATTGATTTCTATCTTGAATCCAAATGCTGCTGAACTTGGATTATCAGACAGGATTAAGAAACATTTTCTTTCCCACTGAAGTACTTGTGACTCTAAAATAGGAGATGAATAACAAGAGGTCTGTTGAGGAAGGAAGGACAGAAAACCTTTCTTCCATAAAAGCTCTTAATTTACTTTAGTATTCAAGGAGACACTGGTGCAAATCTTCCTATGTACAGTAAGCCCTCCTTATCCTACCCCATGCTGGTCAAGGCTTCTGCTGGAGTTGTGTGAGATCTGTAACAAAAAATGCAAAAAATTCTTTATGTGAATTTTCTGAAATGAATTAGTGGAGAATCAAAGACACAGATATTTTTTCAGCTTTTAGTATGAATTGCTGTTGCTGTCAAATTTATCTTAATCGTATGCTTATATCACTGTTGCGGTACTTTACATTTGCTAGCTGGACTCTGAATCAATGTGATTAAGAGGACTCTAAATATATAAGTAGTAACTAAGTAAACTAAATCAAAATTTTTCAACTTCAAGAAATCTGAGACTATAAATTTTTAAGTAAAGTTCCTTGGTAAAATTTGGCAGTGAAGGATGAAAGGAGTTTCAAATGACTATTGTATTTTAAATTAACATAACAGAATTATAATGCAATAAGCAAAAACTTACTCATTCTGTCAGTCTTCCATCTAATTGGTGTAATTTGCATTGTAACACTGGAAAACATAGTGGGAAATGTGCAGCAAATCTTCTACAGCAAATACTAAAGTAGAATTATAATTAAGGTTGTGTGCAGGGCAGTTTATTTCTGAGTTCTTCCTATTTGCATTTATTTGTATCTCAATTATATTTGTTTATAGGGATCTTCTTTATCACTTGCTCTTTTATCATGATTATAAGAAAGGGAGATCATTATTGTTAGAACTACTTTTTTCCCCTCTTCGTTATAAAAAGAAGAACAAAAGAAGAAAGGCAGTTCATAAATAAGTCATCATAACAATTTTAGGATGTTAGTAATTATTAATAAGAATTAATAATCTAGCCAAATTGATCAGTAAATATTATGAATTATCAGGGCTGGCATATCCTTATGTCTGAGGAAGAGCAAGAAAAGGTTCCTTCTTTTTTCAAAGTCCAGCTGCAAAATATCCAACCCTATTTACTGAAGTATCTTTCCCTCTCAGAAGATCTCAAGGCTGCTGGCGGAGATGGTCATCTCATGATGGTAGACGCAGCTGGCAATTTGAGACAGGTACTAAATCTCCAGAACACCTTCCTTCACCCTTCACTCCTCACGTGTCTTGCTGAGTCTTTCTGAATACTTTTTACTTTCTTCAGAATTCTTTAAGATCTTTCTTCTGAGTAGAAAACTTCACATTGGTTTGACTTTTTTTAAAAAAAAAGCAAAATACAATAATATTTGTAGACTGTACAGCATTCAACATTATAGGAGACCTCTTGACATACTTGCCTACTTCCCTCAGAATGCCTCAGTGTTTGCCCCGTTCAGACATTGCGAGAGCAAGTTCCGCTAGCATCAGCCTGCAATTTTCTACCCCTTTCCTTCACATGCAGATCAGTCCTTCAACTATAATTCAGTCTGAATACTAGATATGAAACCTTACTTAAATCCTAGTTTGCTTGAGCTGAACTAAATTAAATTAAATTAACTGGTCCATATTCAGTAATGGCAAATAGTTACTTTGTCATGAGGCTTTGATTTCTTAGGAAGTGACCAGACAATTCCCCCACACCTACCTTCCTGCAAGTTTCATTCCCTTAATTTATAACAGAGATTTCTAATAGAAAAGTGCCTTGGTTCCAATTTAAGTATGAAAAACAGATTATGCAGCTTCCAGACAGTTTTGATAAACAATTAGAACTTTAGATCAACCCATCCAATTCAGCTAGGATGTTGTGTGATCCATACTGATATCATGCAAAGTGGATTTTGATCCTGGAGTGTGCTGTTTTATATTGTTTGGGGTATATGTGTTATTAATAGAGGTGAATATGTGTAGCTCAGGGCTGAACTTTGGAACTCTGCTGTTTTAAAATATTTTTAGCCACTCAGCATGGCTTTTAAGTGGGTGGCCATATACAATGAATAAAAAAATCATAATCATACCAGGTCAGTGTTTATACCTGGGTGATCATGTGACAGAATTTGATGCTACAGGTTTTACTGTGTCTTCTGAAAGAGAAAAAAAGTGATATGTGTGCTGTTTAGAGTACTACTTTCCCCCTTCTAGTACAAGGTGAAAGCTCACAGTTTTGTTTTTTTAAACTGGGAAGATTTCCATGACCCCTTGAAATGTCTCCTACCCTCAATATGTGAACAAAGTTCTTATGAGAAAGAGTGTTTTTAAAGCGAGTCAAGCTGCAGAAAGACCAGGGCACTTGCTAAACCCTTTGAAACAAGGTTTGCTTTGCCCTACCACCTGTGCTGACCCACATCACTAGAAGGTCAAGGCAAAGCTCTTTTTTGAAGACCCTTGTTAAATGTGCTCTCAGAAGCAAGTAGCTGCCACTGGATTCTATGGAATGGAACAAAATACACTTTGTATTTGGCATGAAATTACAGAAACATGGGAAGAATTCCAACGTGTGGACTGCTTCTCAGTCATTACTTAGTGTCAGGACTCCCTCCCAGCTCTGTGCGGTTGCAGCTCATGCTAAAAGGGTTGTCTTGGTAACCAAACCTAGTTGCACTTTTTCGAGTCTGATTCAAGCAATTCTACCCAAAACAAAACAAAAGTCCAGTAGCTAGTTAGTATCTGCAGTTGCTCTTTGCATGGCACCTCCATGTCCTTTTTTTCATTAGATTTTATCCCTAGCTCAATTTTGGCTTTTTCTCTAGCATAATGCTAACTTTTGGGGATTTGGTCTAGGGCCAGCAATCATCATTTTGTGAATTCTTATAATAGAATTGGATTCACTGATATGCTGAAAGTCATAGTTTATTCACTGCATTCTAGTCACTGACATTTTTGAGGTCGTGTTGTAAATCAGTTTTGGCTTTTAGGGGGTGAAATAGCCAGGCATGTATCTCTCCATATAGTTAGAATGGACATCCAAAGCAGTGTTTCTTTAACTTTCTGCAGTCATGGATCACTAAATAAATGTTTGGAAAATGTAGATGCCACCTAATTAAACCAAAAAGTCCTCCCTACATTTTCTTATTCAACAGCATGGGACAATGGGAGTTCATATTGTTCTGGCAAATAAAATCATGATTACATTTGCATTTGTTTTTGCTTTCTCATCCAACTCCATTTTTGAAGATCTTTTTAAACTTAATTTTGGACTAAATTTAGTAAATCTCTTTGTGTTAGGGGTCAATCTGAGTGTTCAGATTCAGAAGCTGAAGAGCTCAACCAATTTCAGCCTCAGCCTATACTGCCAGAATCACTGGGAGTTGGGCAGCATACAAATTTAATATATTATTATTGTTGGTTGCACAGTCAGCCAGTTGCTTAGACTGGATTTGGCATTTTTATCCACTTATCCAGTCCTTCCCAAGGACCTGGGATAGGCAGACCTAACTCTGAAGAAGTCTATAATTCTGGAAAAGGTAGAAGGAAAGAATGGAAGAGGATGACCAGTGGCAAGGTAGATAGATTCAATTACAGCAGCAATATGTGAAGTGATCCTTAGAAAATAAATGTAGCCAATGCAATCTAAGTTTAAATTATATCCAGAGGCCAGTGAAATGGATAGGATAGGATTATTTTTCTTCTCCACAGAGAGAGAAAACCTGTGCAAATATAAAATATTCATTAAGCATAGATGTGTCTTGAAACTCTGGGGCATTTTCACAAAGAAGAGTGGAACATAGATAGAAATTAGAATTAAAGGAGTAAAATTAACAATAGCAAAATTAGAGGTGCATGAAATTAAAATATGATTGCAATAAAAAAATCTTGACAGAGAACAATGTCAGGAATAATTTGTTTATTTAAATGTCATCATGATATTTTTCCTGGAATAATGCCTATTAATTCCAGGTTCAATAGTGCCCTTTGATTAGAGATGTCAGGGTTCTTTGCAAATCCTTCATTAACTTTGCTTCACCTTGTTCCTTATAAGCATAGGATTATGGTGCTACCCTTCACTCTAAATCTGAGTGCTTTACACTTTCACAAATAAGCAGGTTCTTGTTATTTCATACGTGAATAAAATGATTTCCGAGAAACTTCAAATGGTTCGAGATTTTCCCCATCCAGTGGGAGGTGGAAAATAAACACTGTAACAAAGCAGATAAAAGGCAGTGGGGCTTTCACCTAGCGTAGATGGCATTAAAATTGTGCTAGGAGAGTGTTCATGCTCTCTCATTCTTCTAAAGAACTTGGTTGCCCCTTCTGCCTTTTCTTTTTACCCTTTTCATGCCTGGAATTACTTTCCAGAATACCAGCCTGATGCTACTTGTATTACTTCCTCTAAATCTTTCCTCCAAACCCTCCATTTTTCTGGAGTCCTGGCACTGGGGAGAATCAGCTGGTTCACTGGACCCAGAGGGGTCCATTTCGGGGAGGGGGGCCACAAACATGTGATCAATGTCCCACTCTTTTTTAAATGTGTGTGGCAAAAAAGGGTGGGGCATTGATTGCATGGCCCTAGCTGTCATCTTGACTTTTTTGATCTCTTCCCCCTCACCTCCCATGGACACATTTGATTGGCTCTCAACTATTAAGAGAGCAGTATTCATGCCGGCTTAGCTTTTGGAAACATCTTCCCATTGGCTGAGAGTGACAGGCTTTGGAACTTCAGAATAATTTTCTCTCAGTTGATTGACTCTTGAATCAAGTTTGTATCCTTACAATCAGATGAGCTTGTACTTTTCACAGTACATGGAGGGAGGGAAGAATACAAACATTAATGCTAGTAATGTGAAAAAAAATCCTAAGAAATTTGAAAGCACTACAGACAAAACATTGAAATCAATATACCTTATCTAAATGTATAGCTCTCTCCACTTCTTTCCCATCCTCTGTTGCCTTCTCTGTGACAATTTTTGAATGTAAATTCCTGGTGGTATGGGGCTAGTTGTTTAATATTTGATAAACACCATTTATTTATTTATACAACAACTTGTATGCTATCCTGCTCTAGAGATTCTGAGTGATGTATGATAACAATGAAATTCATGGGTAAAAAGTAATCCCAATGCTCTAGTCCTAAAAAGTACCATGTACATTTATGGTTTTATATAAACAGGACATACAGTAACAGAACAAAACAGAGAGCCAGTTTGGTGCAGTGATTAAGGCATTGTATTAATATTGGGGATACCTTGGTTCAAATCAACCTGCAATCACAGAAGTTCACTGAGTGATTTTGGGCCTTGCATTTCATCTCAGTCCAACCTGTCTCATAAAATTGTTGTAGAGAAATACTGGAGGAGGGAGTGCAATGTATGCCACCTTGAACTCCTAAAAAGAAAGGCATGATATAAATCTAAAAAACAAATGAAGGACTTCTGAGTAGTATTGCATTATAAATTCTAATCCTACAGTTCTGTACATGCTAACCTGAATATATACATCTGAAAGATGGGTAGGATAGTTTTACAAGTGCAGTTTTTTAACTCATCTGTAATATAACGGCTTATTAGAATATAGGCCACAATCATACTCCAACCAGAAAATTAATTAGGGCTGATTTTCTTATTTTGAAGTAGATATGTGAAGCGTTGGTTATATAAATGCATTCAGTTCTTTCTTGAAACCATGACTTTGTTTTTTAACTTGATCTGATGAAGACCCATAACCTACAACCTATCCACCTCTAGAAATTCAGGTCACACAGGTTTTTAATCTGAAAATTGATTGATTGATTATGTGCCATACAGTTGTTTTTGACTCCTAGCAACCACGTAGATAGACTTTCTCCAAGATGATATATCCCTAACCTGTTCTTTCACATCTCTCAATGGTGTACTCATTGCCTCTGCAACTGAATCCATCCACCTTGCTGTTGGACATCCTCTTCTTCTCTTTCCTTCCACCTTTCCCAGAATTAGAGTCTTCTCCAGAAAGCTGGGTCTTCACATAATGTGTCCAAAGTAGGATAATTTGAGCTTGGACATGTGTGCCTTAAATGAGAACTCTGGGTTGATTTGTTTGATGATCCATCGGTTGTTTTCTTGGCTGTCCATGATATTCTCAGGAGTCTTTTCCAACACCAAAGTTCCAAAGGCATCAATACTCTTCCTGTCCTGCTTCTTTAAAGTCCAACTTTCCCTTCCATAGA